TACATGTGAAGTCTTGATTACAAGATAATGGTGCCATTAGCATTAAGCCAAGATAATTGCAAATTTTAGTATCTTTTTTCCATTATTGCCCTTTTGGTTTTTCCAAGAATCATTAATATCAATAACAATGAATAGATTGTGATTTTTTGGGTTATTATTGAAATCTTGAATCATTATATTTTTTCAAACTATTGTTTTTAGGGGTGTGCAGAAAATCAACCGATCCAAATTGAACTGATTGGTCCAATTTGAACCGATCGACGATAATTTGGTATCCAATTGTAATCGGATCGGATCGGATCGGATCGGATCGGATGGAATATTTCAACATCCGATTTGGATCGGTCGATTCTCGGAAGGCAGTCCAGAACCTACCAAAACCGAATTGAACCGATCAGCATCTAATTACTCATCCAATTAATCATCTGATGACCATCCAATTGTCCATTCAACTGTTATCCAACTATCATCCAATTAATTTATTTTCAAATTGCTTAAATCGGAATTTGTTTTATGTGAGACTTTTGAATTTTTAACTTCTCTTGTGTTGGTTTTAACACATAATAAAAGTGATTAATTAATTTATATCATTGTTGAAGAATTGGATTGAATTAACACACTAGATGGATTTAATCCCATTGGATATCCGATGGGTGTCCAATAAAAATATTCAATGGATGGAACCAAATCGATCCAATCATCCATTGGATTGGATTGGATCGGTTAACCAATATTAATCGGATCGGCTCTATTGGCAAAATCCAACATCCAATTGATGATTGGATCGGTTCGGTTCCCTTCACATCCAATGGATGTCAACCGATGAACAAGCCTAATCGTTCTTGTATATATATATATATATATATATATAATTGATGTTTTATAAGTAATTTCAGATAAATACAATCAAATAAGACTATTATTCTGTATTTACATTAATTAACTTGTTTAAGATCGTTCTTTTTACTGACAATAGTGTTTTGTGGGACATGTTAAAAGAACGATGATTAATTTACTCCATTAGTCACATTTTGAGGGTTTGATCATCATTTCATCTCCCTTATGGGGCCGTTTACTAAACGCTTACCCGATAAGTACTTATCGGGTAATTTTTCTCATGGATGAACATGGCAAGGGCCAAGAATCTTACCTGGTAAGAGCGATGATAAGGATAAAGAGTCTTACCCGATAAGTGAAGGTGACGACTCTTACTCGGGTAAACGCTTACCAGGTAAATTGTTGTATATGATACGTTTTAATGTACTACAATCTTACCCAATAAAATAAATTATAGTGTTGACTCCTAACGCTAAGCACTTACCGGGTAAACATTTAGGTAAACGACCCCCAAGTAACTATAGCCTTCAATCAATCTTTTATATTTTTATTATATCAAATAAGACCGAAAAAATAACATAAATACAAAACAATTTGATTAAGAAATTGTTAGCATCTCAATTATTATTGATAATTTTATAATTACAATTAAAATTTTGATTAAAAGATAATGTAATTAATGACCAAATTATTGATAAGATTGATTATTCGATTGGCGACGAATCCAACACAAATCGAGACCATGTTCCATGGTAGAGCTGTTTATGGGCGGAACGATCCGTTAGACCCTGTCCATCTGGCCCGTTAAAAATACGAGCTTGGACAACCATTATTGAAAAAATGGATGGGGTCGGGTTTGTTTGTTGAAATTAAAGGACATACATGAGAAATGTAAAAATAAATATGGACAGATTCGTCCAGCCGTTTATATTTTATAATTAATTTTGTTTATCATTAATTAAAAATTATACTAGTATATTTTAAAATTAAATTATTAAAGTTAGAAGATGAAACTCTTTGATTATTCTTAAGAACTCAAAAGGCTCAGGGGTTGTTTGTTTACCTCTTAATAATCTCGTTAAGAGGTTCAACTCTGAATTTTTTTTTCCATTTCTTTCGCCATATGTCACTTATATTGCTTAAAATTTTAATTGCAACGGTGTTTTTCATTTACTTTTTGGTTTCACATTTCTTAATTAATTATTAATGATCAAGTTTATAGATTTATAAGAATTACACTTATTAGGCCCGTTAGCTCATGAGCAAGCTCGACCCATTTATAGGCGGGCAATGACAAGTTGGTAAACCCGGAAATATCAAAACCCATTAAGATGCGGAGTCATTCAGACTATTTGTTTTTTTTATTTTTTCAGAGGCACTTGTGTCTTATTGTCCTCTTATATGGTAAGAGGTAAACCAACATTTTATTTGCTTCTTATTGTTCTCCAAACCCTCAACAACGGCGTTTCTTAACCGATTAACAGTAATCAAACATTTCTTTCAATCGATCATTACCAAATCAATTCTCACCTCTCTTTATTGATGTATTTCAATAGGATTTAAATGTGTTAAATACCGTTAATGATATATTTCCATTTAAATAAATGTTACTTATATAATTAAAATGTAAATTTCATTATGATGATGAATAAATATGTGAACTAGTATAAATCTGTCTATCAATTCAACATCATAACTTTTTAACAGGTAAGATAGACAACTTAAACAAATTCAGACGTTTATCAGTTTACAAAAAAAATAGTCTTATTATTTACATTTCAGACTTCAACACCACCTCTTATAAATCAGAAGTGAAACAAGACTTTATACTTCAAAACCTCTTAAAAAACAAATGTCATCTAAATCATAACCAAACAGTAATATATAACTGACCGAATAAAGTTGCTTTTTGGCATCACTTACATACAACGCATGTAAAAAAAACCCTGTTATTTATGATGAATTTTTAATATGTTAAAAATAGAATAATGTTCTCACACCATACTTTGGTGAAGCATGATCCATGCAGCATATGTGTATTAAAACACAATCTATATGGGTTCTTTTTTATACAGATGTTTCCGTGAAGACCTTTCGTTTATAAAAATGTTTTGAAAAAATGTCGTTACCAAAAATCCAATTGTAAGAAGTCGTGTATGATATAATACGAGATTTATATGGCTATAGGTTATTAGTTATTTCGTGGGTCATGTTTACCAGCCGAAAAGCCTAAATTTTGCATGAACCATGTCGAACGTTTGGGTAAAAGATGTCAGTTATCATTTCGAGCATTTGTTTCATAATAGGCGTAACGTCTTTTTACCAAATTCTGTTACAAAATCACTTTTATCTCATTTTGTAATCGTCACAAGACATCAATGGTACGAGTAACGTTGTATCTTTCTGAACTTCCTTCTATATGACGGTTTGTGAAAGAACGAGTACTGATGATTTTTGTAGGTTTTGTATGAATATAACGTGTATATGTAATAAACGGTAAATGAATAATTTGTTTTTTTTGTTTAAGGGACTGTTTATTTACAACTTAACGAGCTTAATGATTTGGGCGGCTTATTCGCTCAACCATACAGGAGTATTTCTTTATGGCTTAATCAATAAGTCGTTAAGCCAAAATATGGCTATATCGAATCCGCCAAGACCTCTCACTTGTCCCGTATGCTATATAAAAAGTATCAGATATATCCAAAACAATACAATAGTATCCGTATAAAGAATTTCGTACATACCATGTTTCTTGACAAACTCACAAGTTTGTGAAAAAACAAGTAAGAATCAAAGCAAAACAAGTGAAAAATCATAAACGGTAATATAATGTTGTCGGATACTGTAATAACTTAGAACACCATAGTATAGGCGACAACAAATAGCGAAGATACGAGAGGAATGCTTGCGAATCTTGTTGAGGTTGCATCCGATGAACCATTATCCGTTGATGGTACGGTGTTCGATTGAGTGCCTGTACCCGAAGGTGTTGTTCCTGAAGGAGAGTTCGTTGGAGAAGATGCTGTCGATTTCAAAATGTAGAACAACGAATCAACAGTAAGTAGATAAATTTTACATTTTTCTAGTCTGAAATTTAACTTTCAAGGTTAATCAAAGAGTCATTGGCTCCACGGTACCTGGGTTATCGGTAGAGCCCGACCTCCAAGGAGGTCAAACGTTCAAACCTCAACAAAAGTGAGGAGTGCGTGTGTGAGTATTTGTCATATATAAGAGTTCCCTGTCTTTTAACATATATAAACAAATAGAAGTAAAAAGTTTAGTTATGTAATCTCCGAGTCAACTTAAAATCATGGTGGAAGTTATTGGTAACCCACAACCTTGAACTTATAAGGAGCTCACAAATCTACTTTTATGTTCACGTGGGACGGGTTCCTACAGTATAATCTAAAAATAACGTGAATGATAAAGCTGCTAACAAATATTAATTTCGTTACCATTGCATCGACTGGTTGGTGGAGTCTGGACATTGCAGGCCTTAGGCAACTCAAGAGCTTGAGTCTGGTTGATGTTAATACCCAT